CCCCAAAACCCCAAAACCCCAAAACCCCAAAACCATGAGGATGGAATCTAGGCTTGAAAATGATGCTTAGTTTGGACAAGTATTGAAATCTTGTTTAATTAAAGGATATTTCTCAAAATTTATTTATAATTTTAGAGTTGCTTCAATGGAAGTTCTTAAGAATGCAAAGACACTGGCTACGATATCCAGTTACTATGGGAACTATATTGAGTCATATTGATTGTGATCCTTAATTTGTAAGAAGACAAGACATATTCTACACCAAGAAAATTTGATATTTCATCAGTCATCCGACAAGAACAGAAGTATGAACTTTGTAACCGCTAACTTTAATAATGTAGCATGAAAGTTTTTATTGAAAGGAGGGAAGTATCGATACTTGAACCTGATGATTGAGATATGAAATTCATTACAATTAAATGAATTGGATTACTTTCTACAATCAGTCCAGTATCCTCAGGATATTCATTTCCATTATCTTAAGTTTACAGATTGATGGTATCAGAATATCTATCAGTATAATGAAATATGAGCATTTTTCACTAGGAATGATCTGGAACTTCCTAATATTATCAACAAGAAAATTCCAAATGCGAGCGTAATTGATGCTAAGATTGAGTTTGTAGATCACCCTCAAACAATCCATGAGACCAATACCTCAAGTTATTTCAAGAATATTCAATACAACTCTCGAGGAATGGAGGTCTACAGCAATGCAAACATAAAAGCAAAAATACATGAGTTTGATGTGAGGGGCATCCTAGACCTCAACAGGTTCGTCGAGTGCTGGAGTTTAGAATCTAAGAAAGCTATCAGAAAACTATTGATAGTTCTCAACTGAGAAATAACTTGTAATAGTAAAGTTATAGTCTCAATACTGCTAAAACTCCAGAGATCATTGCATAAATCTGCTAAAATAGAATTTTATTTGTTTGATAAATCAGTGGAAAGGATCGCTCCTTTCATAGCAATTGCAGATAAATGCAACTTATCTGTCATATATAATGGAAACAACAAAAATGATGAATCGATCGCATTGAGGAAACCGAAACTGATTTTCAAAACTAATAGCATAAACTTTGCTTGTTGAAGATCAAAGAAGGTTATCATAAGAAAGAGTAAGAGGAATAACAAAATTATTCATCAGATGGTGCCTTGGGAACCTTCGATGAATAATATAAACGCTAAGGAACTCCAGATTCATAACATGTCTAAGCCAATAGCTCTCCCTAGACATGAGCAGATGTTTTATAAGACATTATACAAGCAAAATGAATTCTCAGATACATGAATAATTATCAACTGAGATACTTTTGAAAGAAGTAGAGCATACAAAAAGAAGTATGAAGAAGAAATGAAGAACAATATATACCCAGAGTTAGAGCATCGGCTCGAGAAGTTTCAGATAAAATTTAAAGATACTAAAAATTCTTTTAAGGATACTATTGAAGAAACTGTCATTAAAAGATCAACAACATTTCCTGTTGATCAGGTGTGAAGCAACTTGAAATTCCAAATACTGACAGCATTAGAGGGATGACCTGACTACCTCACATTTAAATTTTCTAGAAGAGTCGATTGAATAGAACAGCTTAGAAATTCTGAGCAATTACTTGAGAATATTGTGAAGAGCCTCTTCACTAGATCAAAGCTTAAAAGAGTTACATTCTCATTTGATTACTTTCGAAATGATTCAGTAATAGATATAGCAACACATCCACTACAAAGGGAGATATTTAAAAGCTATTTCAGAAAAATCTTATCTTACGAAGAAATCAATGAAGTAGTGGATCTAGCTAACTCAGGGTATTACCTACTTTATAATGAAGAAGATTAATCACATTTAATCAGAAGAATTGGCAACTTAGTATATAATTCTTTAAAAAGCTAAAATTTCAATGTTATATAAAATTTTTGGGGTTTTGGGGTTTTGGGGTTTTGGGGTTTTGGGGTTTTGGGG